AAGGTGATTGGTCCAATCACGCCCTGGCCTTTTTCGTTGGCTTGCAAGGTAATGCGTTGGCGTTCGTTGGCACCGATTCTGTCGTACACGTACGTATAATCCCTGTTTCGATGACCCTTGACTGACTCGAAAAGATGTCAGAAGAGGTGAAGAAAGCCAGTACCCACGTACCGAAGTCCATGCTGCTTAGTCTCGCCATTAATGGCACTCTCGCGATGGGTATGCTTCTCGCCGTACTCTTCAGTGCGCAGGACATTCAGGGACTGCTCAACGATCCCACGGCCCCTACGGCGGCCTTCATTCGCATTTTCCAGACGGCCGTCGGTTCAAGAGCAGGTGCGACAATTATGGTTAGCATCATCATCCTGCTTGAGTTCTGCAGTGCAATGGGCTGTCTAGCTGCAGCGTCCCGAATGACATGGTCCTTCGCTCGAGATGAAGGGCTTCCATTCTCGAAGCCTTTGAGCATAGTAAGTCTCTTCCGGCATAATGGCAGAGGTCTCCACTTACACGGAGCAGATCGAAAGTAGGACGACGATTCCAGTTGTCGCCATAATCGTCGTCACAGTTTGCTCGGCGTTACTCGCTCTGATTAACATCGTCAACACCACTGCCTTCAATGGAACCATTTCCATGGTCCTACAAGGCTTCTATCTCTCGTATCTGCTCGCGATCGGTCTGCTCCTCTGGAGGCGACTGCGAGGTGATTTGGACAACCCCGATTCATCATTGACGATCTTCGGCCCTGGCGAAGTTGACGAGGCTTATGATCGAAGCCTAACCTGGGGTCCATGGAGGCTAAAGGGTACGCTCGGCGTCGCCAACAACGTTGTTGCTATCTGCTACTTGCTGCTCATCATCTTCTTCAGCTGTTGGCCATCGGTCAATAATCCGACTCCGGCAGCCATGAATTGGGCGGTGCTTGTGACCGGCACTGTTACTCTATTCAGTATGGTGTACTACTTCATGTTTGCACGAAAGTCCTACAAAGGACCTCTCGTGGAAATTGACCCTCACCTGAATTGATCCTTCTCCTATCCAACGGCTGAATGGGTAAAGAGATGGAGGTCAAAACAAAAGGTTGGGTCTAGACATGCCGGCGTTATGATTGCATCCTGCGAGTCACCTTTTGCATCGGGACTGGTTGTCATTGGTGGTAATTTCCAAATTTTGTCAAGCGTAGGGCGCGCGTTCGTTACGAACATTCTAAAATCACGAAGTCACGGCCTTGTACTCACCGCTCTAATGGAATTTACTCATGGAGTGTCATTTACTTCATGCCTTCGGTGTGGCTTCGGAACTCACTCAGGTTACCCTACCGAGAGATGCTGGAGGCAGCTTTAGCGAGCCGCACCTAAGTCATGAGAAGGCCGCTCGCTCCTCGTAGTTCCGCGCGTGCAACTTTGCTCTGTTTACACGGTCGTATGCTCAGCTTCAAAGATGTGAGTCCATGGGTAAGCAATCCTTCGATCAGCCCACCTCACCACAACGAGCCAACTCATCGCTTCCAACACGAACGTCCCGACACCAAATCGACAATTTTAGCCTACGTTACCATCGTGAACCTTGATCAGGATTAGTATCAGCTGTCTCGCATCTCGAAATAGCTTACTCGGCTGCTCACCTTTTGGTCCTTCCAGCTCCAAACACAGCCGCATGAGAGCTCTCTCCACACAACACGATCGTAGGACGCCACACCCGGCTTGCGCTTCCGGCACCCAAGACTTCCTTGTGCAGATTCAGGCGTTCTGTCATTCGTCTCGTTCGGGAACTCGTGATCTGGCAGGACTGGGAGAGGAGCGCCAGGCTTGGCGTGATGAGCAAAGCCTCACGGCAAGATGCTGATCAGAGGCGGAGAGCCTTCTGAATGGTGGGCTACTCTTTGCAATTACGAGACTTCACGAGAGAGCTCCACGGTGAAAGGCCATGTTCAGGATTAGGTAGAGGCACAGCAGTGGGCGCGGTGAGAGAGCTGTAATTGTGTGCTGGTAGGCAGATGTATTTTGAGACGAGGTAGAAGGCTAAACATCGTGAAGTTCGTGTATGTAAGGTTGGTCGATGAAGGAAGAAGAGATCATCATCAAGCAAGCAAGCAAGCAACATCTTCACTGCAACATCAGCAACACTTTCTCATATTCAAAATTCTCATTTACTTCGACTGTTCATCACATCACTCTAAGCATCGGCCAAGTACTACCACAATAATGCTCTTCACAACTCTTACAGCCGCTTCCCTCCTCTCCCTCGCGGCAGCAGCGCCAACCAACCTCGAGGCTCGCTGGCCACCTCTCACCAACATTCTCAAGCCGACAGTAATTTCACTTTTTGACGGCAGCAACGGCGCCATCACCTACAACGTCGGCACTGGCAGTGCCACAAAGACGAACCGCGGTGACATCACCACGCTCGTGACATTCAAGCCCGACTTCGACATCCCCGAGACAACATGCCGTCTGCGCTTCTTCCTCGACAACGCTGACAATGCCGTCGTTCTTGGTGGTTCCAAGCAAGTCAACATTTTCAGCTCTCTGAAGCCTGCGCCCGAGAAGGATGTTCCCGCCTGGGGACCGCCGGGCAACCAGCGCGACCAGGATTTGGGTCGCTTCAGTCTGTACAAGGGGGGTAACGGGGATGTGGTGTATGCGCCGGCGATTTTTCCATGTCCCAAGAAGGGTGCGAGCATTGGGTTTGAAGTTGTGCCGACTGGCGAGACGGATGAGGTTAAATGCAACCCGGCTTTGAGCGGATTGTACTTGACCCGGGGATCGTGATGGCCGGGCAGATTGTTGCAGGGCTGATATAAGGTACTGTTCTTACGCTCGTCCATGGAGGGTGTATGAGCTGCCTTTTCCGAAGGCTGAGGCGTTTGTCATATGTTCATGATTTGTGGTGTCTTTCGCAGCGATTGACTTCAGCATTGCATTTGTAGCAGCGATAGATGATAGCATATGTTATCTCGTTTTCCATGATACTGATGTCAACAAACACTTGTCTTAGTATTGACTTATCCTTGGTATAATGTTCCAGGGCGATTACGACGCGCTTTTGGTAAAGCACTGCGAACAGATACTACGGCTGTTTCGGTAGCATTTGAACATGCTGCGATGGGATGCATATTGATTATTCCAATTGGATGATTGGCGAGCTCCAATTACTTTGCTATCACAAAGCTCGACTAGGATCATGGTGATGGTGCTCTGGAAGTCGTCGTCGTCGACTTGAGGTAAGAGGATTAGGAAAGCACTTCCTGAACACCATTCCCGACACTTTTTGAAAAGCGCAGTACTATCACTCTTGCAAACGGGCCGTAGCGACACGATTTCCGGGTCTTCAGGATCCGGCAAGGTCTAAATGATATGGATGAGGATTTGATGAGGCGAGAGCTAAGGGTGGCACACCCCCTGAATGACGTCGGGCTATGGCTCATGCTTTTAAAGGCTGAGGTCCCGCCGATGCGTCGAGGCCTTGCCCCGCATTCCAAGATCAAGTGTGAATTTTGGGGAGGGGAAATGACCAAGCCCAACTTCATTGTCAGCCAGCACGTTATTGGTCCGCCTTTGTAACCCATGAAGGAACATCCTTAGCACAATGTGTGCAGACAATATATTCCAACTAAATTCAGAAAACAGCATCAAACAGGTCCGATATGGTCTAGGTACGTTATCATCATCATCCACAGCATCGTTCATTGTCTAACAGTCCAAAGTGGCTAGGATTTGCCGCTCTCATCAGAGTAGTTCGCCTGTGCGCGCCGGCAAGGCCCGGGTTCGATTCCCGGTGTCGGAAACGTTCTTTTTGCATGGTTTGTGTCCATGAGAACGTGTGCTGGTTGCGTGGTGGCTCAAGAAGAAAGTTGGTGGCGTACGGGCCTTTGGGTTTTTTGGCTAAGCGAAGACACCACGCCCAATGCATTTGAGATGGACGAACAAGTGGTTTGCAATGCTTTCTCTATTCCTTCAAAGCAAACTCCGCAACAAGTAATTAAGTAGGGCTCAGAAGGTCTGGCTTGACTTGTTTAATTACCTATTTGAGCCTAGTAGTTGCGTATAGAGGCTTAACTCCTACCTAGATAGGTAAGTGGGTATCTGAAGGTGAACGGATTGACTTGCTTGTTGCGGACTGTGCTTTAAAGGCTTTAGGCTGTGCAAAGGGGCATTCTGATAGTTTTAGGTCCTCCTGAGTATGCGCATCCTGCAATAGGCGCAGCACGGACTAGACATAAGCTACATTGACATTAGAACTCGGCACTCTTTCACAAAGAGCGTTATGGCTCGAACCAAATTCTTGCAGCCAGAGATTCGCTGTGGCTATAGTTGCATCGATTGAATCTCCGAAGACGTTGAAGAGTGAGCACAACGCCATTGACACGCACATATCGCACGCTCCTTTGGACCAAACAAAGCACAATAATCTCTTCTACTACGCCTGTCTACGGACCCAAGTCTTCTGTCCGAGGAGCGCTTCTTGCACGAAAGCCTTGCCTGCAGTGAACGCCGAAACAGGGCATGCAAGTCTCGAGGCCAAAGGCAGAGAGTGGACCACCTACTACCGCAGCAGATGGGAGAATGATTGACTTGATACACTGTGATCTGCTTACTTCAGGAAAGTGCTGCATTCATCGTGCTGCAATGCGCGGAGCTACCCGTTGCTTTGAGGCATGCCATGGCCCGTGTTGGAGCATCGTGATAGTGAGCACAAGTTTCGTGAACAATGGTCAGAAAGTGCCAGCAATTTATTGAGTTATAGAGAATAATTTTCGGGACCATATCCCGTCCGGCTGCATCGAAACCAACCACGCCGTCTCATTCAGTGCGTCAGTCTTGCCGCCCGCAGCCACGCAAATCCATCTCAGCCCCTCATTGCCCCACTCCGACGCTGCGCCTCAGCCGCTCGAGCGCAAACCTCTTTGCTCCTGTATGTGGCAACTATATAAAGCAACTTGAAGCACATTTCGCCATCGAATCCAGCAGGATCCCAAGCACGACACAGTCGTCGTATACCTCCGCTTGGTGTAGTTGGTTGTCAGTACTCCCAATACAAACTGATCCATGACGCAGTCATACTAACCCGTATTAGTATCACGTTCGACTGTAATATACTTTGTAATCGAAAGGTCCCTAGTTCGATTCTGGGAGCGGAGATTCTTTTTTCGCGCTTGCAGTGTCTTTGAGGTCATGTGTCTCTGTGCATGGCTGATGGAATTATTTTGCCGGTGCAGCAGCGGTTGCGGCTGGACCTCGGCTGAATAGGGTTAATGATAGTGGGGTCTAGCTCATATGTGCTGCACAGATATGGAGCTCAATGAGGATACAAGGTATAGAGTGGATATGTGGCCTTTTGTGATCATGTGGGCTTGTTTTTGTGCTTCGCGCTTCGTGAAGCAGTCACTTTGGCGGCCTTTCATTACCAACGCGCAAGTATATAGATCATCAGGTCCGTCAACTTCCATAAATTAATCAGGCCCGATGGCGCAATGGTAGCGCGTCAGATTCCAGTTAATCTAGTAACCTGAAGGTTGGGTGTTCAAATCACTCTCGGGTCATTTCAAATGACTTTCTTTTTGCGATTTTTATGCTACTGAATGAAGCATTGTTGTAATTTGGCGTTGTGTGAGATAGCGGGGTCGCAATGTAGTGTGGTGTGGGTGGCTCCACTTACGAGGACTTTCATTTTAGCTAGCCAAACGAACCGAACACCACGGCCCGGCCTGAATTGTCCTCTTGCACCAATGACTTTTCCAGCATGAGGAGAAGATGCGAAGTCCGTACGAGGAGTTCTACATGATACGTGAGCATTTGAGCACATGCATTGAGTGAGGTGCGGCATACCGTCGTATTCGAGCTCGTAGCTTACTGGCAAATCTTCATCAACTTGAACGAGAATGGGTGTATCCCTCCGCAGTTTCCTCTCCCTCACATTGAAGCGTAGGCCAGTATTCTTCGACTGACTGACCCATAATATGCGTTTGTCGTCCAGATCTGCATCATTTAGGATGTCCTTCGCCCTCTCTTTGCCTTTGTCATTCTCTCTCATTTCCACAATCGCCGGTATCTTCTGGTTAGCAGCTCGTCCTTTCGCCGCCATCTCTCCCAACCATTCCTTCCAGACCCTCACTACACCCTCCTCAACGTCTTGGAAACACGTAAAGAGACCATGGCGCGGTCCCATTTTGACCAGATTGGTCTGCGAGACCAGTTGGGTGAAGAGCTCGTGCGATTCCAAGCTCAGTGTCTGCTTGATGGTTTCGCCTTCGTATTTGTCCTGCGCCGTACCTGGGAACGTGCGACTGCCGGGAACGTCTCCAGGTCGCCGTACAATTTTCCTGCCACGGTCCTCAAATTCCCGCTGATGCGGTCGAAACCGAGAGTACATGTTGCGCATCTTTTCCAACCTTGCGCCGATGTTGGCGTCATCCTCGGCGGAGGTGTCATAAGGGGACAGCCCATTGGTGCCATGGTAGGTGCAAACGTACGCAGGTTCGAAGAGCTTCGCGGACGGGTGGTAGCACTCGAGCAGAAGGGAATGTGAATCGAGTTCGGCAGCGGCGACGAGGCGATTGTGTAAAATTCGAAGGATGATAGTGGACAAACGACGCGATATCAGTGTCAAGGGTAGAAGTTCAGGCGTAGGCAGGGGCGCAAAAAGATGCAGAAGCAACTATAATAGTTAGTCAATCCGGGATGAGATGGTTGCACATATGGCAAACCTCGTTCGGCAGGTTGTGGAGGTGGCATTCAGTCATGTTGATGGACTCGAAATGACCAGAGTTCCTCAAGCAGAGAGAATGGTACTGCTAACAGCACATGATTCGCACGCCGTGGTTGAACGGAACCCATCGCTCACGGAGATAAGATATCGTCATCGCCATGCTTGCTCGATGCGGTTTCCCGAGGCTTGGCCCAAACAGGCTAGCCTGAAGCACGAGACTCGCTTTCCCATACGAGCACAGAACACTCACCTTTCGTCTCTCACATCATCGCCGGAGGCACTCTCAACTTCCGCGAACAGCCACGAAGACTTCACGCGCTTCACACGCGCCGCTTCGATATGAGCAGGGTGTCGGAATTCGTAAAGTCCCGCAACGCTGCAGGTAGCCCACAGCAGGCTCAGAATGGTACACGCATCGACCCTGAGAGGCAGGCGAGAGCCGCACTTGCCAAGATCTCTTTGAAGAAGGGACTCATTTCTCATCAGCCTCAGCAAACTCAAGCACCATCTGGCATCCCATCGCGTGGAATTAGCAATATTCAGAACAGCTCTGCTGCCATCCGGCACGAACCACAGCGTTGCAACTCCGGCCAAGGCTTGAAGCGTGATGTATATGACACTGACGCCGAAAGCATCGACACTACAGTCGATCAATCTGTCGTTCAAGTCGAGGACAGTCAAGCGAGAGACGTGCAATATCAACAGAACGGCGAAGACTTCGATGAAGGCGAGGAGTCTGACCAGGAAGAGGATGAGTATGATGAAGACGATGTCGATGGTGCCGACGACGTGGACAAGTACCCTATCACACAAGAAGAATCGGAAATTCTTCAGGCAGCTGGTCAAAGCAACCTTACAAGACCCGAAGCCTTCCATTGGCTGCGTAAACATAGTGTCGGAGGACTCCCTGTAGTTGAGGGCGATTCCTACCCACCCACATCTGATGGGCAAATCACTGAGTGGGACGGAGTTCTTGGGGGGCGCCCTGAAGACTTTGATCATCATGTCGGAAGTATGTCTCCCTCCCCAAGGCATCCGATTTCCAATGATCAACGACCACTTGCGCCTCCTCCCATGGACCGTGGATACCGTGGCGGTGTAGGACCAGTCGCGAGTCACCCCATCGACAACATGTTCAGCAAGTCGGCCAACATCCGAGAACAGCAGCGAAAGAACTCTTCACATAGCCAACAGCTTGGACAGGCTCACCATGGCAATGCAGCACCAGTGCATTCAAGTCAGCCATTTTCTTACTCACAAGCAGGCCGTGAAGTTCCGCGCTCTTTTCCATCCAACCCGCGTCCACGTCCAACCCATCACGTAGCCTTCGAGCAGCCTCAACAGCATGTCGAGAGGACACTATCAGGCTCAGTTCATGTCGCACCGCAGCCTTCGAGGCCTTTCGATGGCCCGATGCCGGCCAAGCGCCCATCAACAGCGCACGGATCGATCACCCCCCTCATCCAGCAGCCACTTGCGGATGCAGTGCAAGGACAGGCGCTCAATGTTCGTCCACACGGAGATTATGATCTCGAAACCCTTCACAAGATGAGCTACGATGACTTGAAGACCGAAAGCTTCGATACAAATCCGCAAGCACCCGAACAGCCTCTCTCCACCGAAATGTTTCAGAAGCCACTCATTGAGCGCCTTGAGCATGTCCAGAAGAATTTTGGCCACGACAAGCAAGCCGAATTCTTCCAATCGCTTTCGACTACGGAGTGGGAAGACGCTGGCGACTGGTTCTTGGAGCAGTTTAGCGCCATCATTCGACGGAGTCGAGATGCACGTAAAAAGAAGCGCAAGCTTGCCCAAGACTTCGAGGACGAGGTCGAGAAGCGACACAAGCACGTCAGCAAGAAGCAACATCAAGTCGAGGACGCCATGAGCAAGATGAAGGCCCAGGGAGAAGGCCTGGTGCCAAAGAGTCCGAGGATGAGCAAGAGCCCGAAGCCCGGGAAGGGTTGATAGATGCGGTTCCAGAGAATGAAGGGCATTCTCACGATGTTTATGTTGGAGTTGCGACTTTACGAGTAATGTGCTCGAGAATCATTGAAGCATTGCGCGGGGACGACCTTGATGCCGGAGTCTGTTCGTTATATATCCACATCTGCATGCATGTATGTACCACGTTAGCAGGGACAACGGCTTTTAATCATCGCACGAATACATTAATCAGTGTTCCCGTGCGAAAAACCAATACCTGTCCCTAGCTTTGAGATTGTAGTTGCTTGCATGTGACGTATTGCTGCTTGAAAGCTTAGTGGACTGAAGCAGTCGCGCACGGTGTGCTCGGTAAACTTCAGTGATGGGTGTTTGAGTTTGAGCATGAGGCATGCTTCGTACGAGAAAAACGAAACACTGACGTCTTTTTGTGTTCAATTCAGACCAAGCTACAGTCTGCGGATGCGCTCTTCCATCGCCGCGGATGCACAGACGCGGCCAGAATCACAAAGCCCGCCAACTTGCTGCCTGCGCACAGATCGCAGCAGGAATGGCAGCCTGACAGAGCGCGCCGGAGGTTGGCCTCGGACAAGGTGCCACATACCGTGCCATTGAACGCCTCACGCATCTCGTTGGACTACGCTCGGGGAGCTTGGGCAGGCCGTTCATAATGCACCACCCGTTCATGTTGTGTCTGTACGGATTGGGGGCCGCTGAGCCACGCGCCGGATCACGGCATCGCATCGTGTGACTTTGTGGGAGTTGGGCGGCGTTTCCTCTCGCTGCAACACCAGAAACACAGCAGTAGTGGTATGCCTCTCCTCACGAAAGGAAGACTGGGCGCAAGGGCGCAATCGCTTGCCAATTGTTGGAATATTCCAAGAATGGTGGAATGCACAGCTAATTGTCCTTCTTGTCGTGTCCAAGGGGTTTGTGAAGGTGTGTTATCGCGTGTTCCTGGCCCAGCGATTGGCGTACGCTACTTGCGCCTCAGCGGCCGGGGGAGGTGGAGCGCGCTACATCATCGTAACTGTCGATCAAAGCTGCAAACGTTTGTTCAACACCGTAAACACGGTGCCTCGAGGAGACCTGGAAGTGTCGTCAGTATCTGCTGTGTCCCTTCTCCTCTGTCACCGCTTTTCGCACGCCCGTCCAACGCTCGGTGAGTCTTTCTCAACTTGTAGCTCTGAAGCCTGGACAGGGATTCGAGTTCCCTCTGGTGGACGGCTGCTGACTCTGAGCTGGTCACAGACAGGACACCTTCCTCTCCTCCCAACACCACCGCGCCGCAAAATCGCTTCGTAAACCATGGCGAGTGATGTTCCGCCCACTGAGGACACAGTCCCACAGCAAGATGGTATTGAGATTGCCACACCGCACCCACCGCACGCGGATGGCACACCGGCGATTGGTGGAGCAGGCCAGAAGCTGTCCCGCAAGGAGCGGCGGATAGCCTTCTGGCAACCCGTACAAGAAAAGATCAGAGACAAGAAACAAAAGAGACAAGAGCACCCGGCAGCAACAGCAACGCAGGGTATGAATGGCGCACCCTCAATCGGCCCACGAGGCAATGCTGCGATATCTGGAAGCTGCCAGAGACTGAACTCTCCGAACAATGGTCGGCGGAGGTTGAGCGATGGCCGCACGCGGCAACGGGTGAACGGCCAGCATGTTCCTGTCTCCAACACGCACGCTGCATGCCCTGTCCAGTACGGGCCTTACGCACGATCGCCGCCAGGCGCCCACCTGTTTGCGCCCGAAGCAGCTCATCAATATTTGTCCGTCCCCATGCATGCTACAACGTACGCACCTCTGTACAGTCTCCATTCGAGGGCTTCCCTTCAACCAGGATTTGTGTATGCACAGAACCGTGGCCATCTTACACCACCG